ATTCAATATTTACTTATTCAGACATGTGACCCCGGTTGTGCTGTGGGGCCTTGTTGCTACTATTTCCTGTTCAAAGTACACAGGCCATGACCAAATGTGTCAATACTGAGGTTTCTTTACAAATTTCATTAACAATGTACAAACTGTGATTACCCAAAAACACAAGGCTAGATTGTGTCATCGGGTTTTTTCACTAGTGGCTTCCTAGTTTTGCAATTTTGCCTGTATTTAGGAAATAACGTCAAAGTACACAGAGTCTTTTTATTCAGTTACCATTTTTAGGTTGTACATTTATTTACAGATTAAGTAGGCATTTGCTTAATTTCTTCATTTCTAATTCATATTTCATTATGAATTTGCAAGCTCCGTTGGGAAGTGGTTGAAGATGTTTAGGTTTTGCAAATTTAGCTGAGTATTCTGAGGTCTTTGTCCACTTCTGCACACATTCTGCTATAATTAGCATTTCAGACATTTAATGAAAATTGAATGAAAATCAGCAGGTTCACAGACAATATTTGATATCAGCTATTTTGTCAGAGAATAGAATGTTATGAATGAAATATTCTTTCATTATAAATCACTCATCACACACACACACACACACACACACACACACACACACACACACACACACATATGTATACACATAGAAAACACGAGAAAATGCATGTGCATTATGCATTCTAACTAATTGGAAACCTGTGATTAGGTAAGGTTTTACAAAATGCATAATCAACAAATATACCATAATTATACTGCTGTGTTTGCATGGACATTCAGTGCTTCAGGCTTTGTTTGGTTGGTTGGTTGATTTGTTTGATTAACCTTGGTATCTTTTCTTATTTCATGCAGAAGTTGGTCATAAAACCACTCCAAGTCCTGGCTGTCATCGGGCCACAGAAGGTATCTTCTGTTCTCAATGTAGGATCTCACTTGTTTGAACTTCAGTAACCTGTACTGCGGTATGTTCCCTACAACCAGCACCACCAGAATGTCCTTTAGCTCCACTTCCATCAATCTTTGTGCCAGAAAGAAGGCTTCTAGGCACCAGCCGTCCTTCAGGAAACGTTCAGACACCACACAAAGGGTTTTATGACTATTCTGGATTGCATTTCGCATGTTGGTAAGATGGTCCTCCCCGGGTATGAAGTCTCGCTCCTCGAAGCAGCAGCGGAGTGTGTTCTGCTCTGAGAACTGAGAGTCAAGCCTGTTCAGCAGCGCTCTTTCTACCCACTTCATATCACTGGAACTAAAACAAAGATACACATCGTACAAGAATTGTTCAGGATCAGGTTCCTCTCGCTTTCCATCCACAAGTTTGCCAGTGAGCTTTTTGTAACACTTGAAGATGTAGCCACGTCCATGGACATAAATGATGGCGCTAGCAGTGAGTGATATGACAAGTGTGAAACAGAAAATAAAAAGCACAAGTCTCAGTTTTTTAGATCTCCTCTCATCCTCTTCATCCTCACATTGTATGTTGGATCTCACAACCGGAACCATGTACTGATCCTCAGGACTGGCACATGTCACATCCTCAATGGGGTGAAAAATGGTTACGTTGGTTTGATTTAGCCATGTTTGGAAATCCCTTAGCTTGCAATCGCAACGGAAATCGTTGTTCTTCAGGCTGAGGTAGTGGAGGCTGCTAAAGAGATTTGGATCTACTGAATAAATAGAATTATATTCAAGATTAAGTATTCGAAGACTTTCAGGGAATATACCGTTTGGAAGGTACTTCAAAGAGTTGAAGGACAAATCCAAAAAAAACAAAGAAGTAAGATCTTTGAAAATGTCTTTGGGAAGTGACTGTAGTCCATTGGCAGTCAGAGAAAGCTGTTCTAACTGGTGAAGATTGCTAAACATGTTTAAACATTTTCCTTCTGACCAGATCAGCTGCATCGTTGAAAGTCCAAGATGAAGAAGTTGAAGTTTGTCTGAAGCCACTATTAGTCTTTGATTATAACAACTCGAAAACATGTTACCTTGAAGAAAGATCTGTTCTATTTCAGGAAATTCCCGTAGTATTGTGTACAGATCTGACAAGTCCTTTAATCTGTTAAATTCCAGGTCAAGGGTTGTGAGGTTTTTAGCAATGTTGGGTAAACCAGACAAAGATGAAATTCTGTTCTCACCTAAATAGAGTATCTTCAGGTTTAGTAGGGCTGCAAATTCATGAACTGATTCAAGAGCATTTCCTGTTAAATGTAAGATGATTAAACTTGGGAGACCCTGAAATGATTTATCTCCAAGAACCCTTATATGGTTATAAGACAAATCAAGCACCTCAAGTTTGTCTAGATTCTGAAATGTATTGGAATCAATACTACCCAAAAAGTTTTTGGACAGGTTTAGCTTCAGTAAATTTGTCATACCCAAAAATGCATCAGTTTCAATAATGTTGATTTCATTTTGTGCCAATGTAATTTGTTCTAGTTCTGGAAAATGAGTAAATACTGAATTTGACAAAGCGAAAATGTTTGATTTGGACAAATCGAAAATTGTAATACCACTCGCCTCAAGACCCTTAAATGTGAATTTATCTGGATCTTTTAAATTGTTATGACCAAAAGAACTGCCCATGCTGTAACTGTTACTGAGAATGAGACTTTGGATTTTAGTACCAGTGATTGCATCGAAAAAACGCTTTGCCATGTTAACAGTAAAGCCGTTTCCAGACAGGTCCAATGAGGTCATGGACATGTTCTTAAATGGCTTTCCACACTTATCCCATCCTAACCAGTGCTCGTTCATGTCTTGCAGTGTCACGGAGGACAGTTTCAGAAGCGTGAAATGTTTACCCTGAAAGCCGAGGAGCTCTTCTTCACAGATGCTCTTCACTTTGTTGCGAGAGAGATCGAGCCAATGGAATCTCCTCATGTTTAAAAAGAATGATGCCGGCTGGATTCTTTGAATGTTGTTCTCACGCAAGTCAAGCATCTCGAGAGACACCAGAGGTTTGAGGAAGTCACCAGACAAAATAGCATCATTTAAACTGCACTGAGTGAGAGTGAGAATCTCAAGGTTGGATAATCCGTTAAACGCTCCTGTCTCTATTTTCAGGAAGCGGTTGTAGTCTAGCTGAAGTAATCTTAGATTGGACAGTCTTCTAAATGTGTTGTTTCTGATAACAAGTCCAGGTGTTTGTTGCTCCAGATTAAGGACTTGTAGACCTTCAAGGCGAGAAAAGGATGTTTCGTTGAGTTCAGCAATGCTGTTAAAACTCAGATCCACAACGTTTACATATGTGGGCAGCTCTGGCACCTCTTGAAGACCTTTAAATGCACACAAGGCTGCATAACCATTAACTGAACACACAGAGGTGCATTTCACAACTTCAGTGTTGATGCACAATCCAAAGAGGATCAGTATGAATGTATATCCCATTCTGAGAGCACTGTGGGAAAGAAAACAATCATGAGAGGCTGTGCTATTTAAATTAATATTTATGTAGAACAAGTTTATCTTACTCATTGTTTGCTTAAAAAGGTTCACTGATAAAAAAAAAACATAACAAAAAAACATATACAACGTAAAAAGATTCTGAAGTATAATTTAATAATAAAGCTAACAGAGCTATAATTTAGCGTCTTACCAGGTTCGGCCCCTAATCCATACAGTGTTTTCTTAAGTCTTGTTGTGGTATTAAATACTGAGAACGTTTCAATAACGCAATATTGTCAGATAAAGAACTCGTCTTCCTCTCGCGTGAGTTCCGGCAATAGTGAATTCTTCCTCCGTTCTCTCTCTCCCTTCATTTCATTTGTGTTTCTCAACATTTATGAAATAGGAAATAACTTTCTGACGCACTGATTCGTTTTCCGGTGAAGAGTTCATCACGTTTGAGTGACTGTAACTCTGGAAAAACTACCATTGTTTCAGCTTCATTCATAAATTCGGAAGTTTTCAACGCTAGCATGTTTTAACATTAACACATTTTGTTATTTCGAATTTTACTTACAGAATCGCCGTTCATTTATTTACAAAAACATATACAGCGTAGATATACAATTGCACAACACAGTAATAATCAGGGATTAGCCAACAGAAATGACTGAACATTAACTCTTGCCACTCAAAGAAAAAAACACTAGCCTTTATACGAGGCTATGAAGTAGCCTGACTTGTTCCTTACTGCCCACTAGAGAGCGGTATTAACCAACATCACTATAGGAAAACCAGCAGAATCCGCTGTGGGAGGGCAATAACACTGGCCTATACTGAAAATTAAATAAAAATTGAAAGTTTAGAAATAATGTATTAATGCTGCACTGCGCATGTCTTTTCCAATCAATCAGCATATTTGGACAGAGATGTTGACGAAGCAAGAGAGAACGAAACAAGGTTCTGTAAATGAAAATTGCTACACGTTATATTAAAAATAATATTTATTCTCTTCAAACACCACCATTTAGCAATACTGACATTAATGAGTTATTCAAACTTGTGCAAAGTTAAGTTTGTCTGACACTCTATTAGGGTAACATGAGGGAAGATGCCCCCCTTAAGAACAATGTGCATTTATGTTTAAATTGTAACATATTTAGATATAGCATAAGTTTAGCATAATGGCATCAGCCAATGTGCTATTATAGGAAATAAATAAAACATTTGCTAATTTAGTTATTATTACATTTAAAAATAATAACAACAACATGCCACTTCTGTGCTAATTCTGGGTGGCGCATCTTAGGGGTCTAATTTAATCTTTTTACTTCAAAATAAAAACTATAACTTTTACTTCACAAAACTTAAAACATTAATGTGTCCGCAAACCCATCATTAACAAACAGACACATTCAACATAATAGCAGTATCACAGATCGCTATTTTCCAGAGATACAAAATTAGATAAATTAACATCAAAACTCTTTCGACTGACAAAATCTCACAAATGTTGATATTCAGATGAAATCACAAAATTTTGTGTCATCTATGGTCTAGAAAAGGGGGGGGGGGGGGGGGGGGGGGGTGTCTTACCCCTAATTACCCTATAGTTCATATCTAAAATGAAATATATTTACTATCTAGGCTACTATTTACATTTCAGTTCGCGTGACGTCCGACTTTAAATGTCTCTTTTTAAATACCTATTTGGGAATGACAGTTCTGTGCTGTTTTTGTCAATGATCACCTGTTGAAAGTCGTAGATTTCATCTTGGCCTTTGTGCACATCATAATTGTGCATTTGACAAAAACGTCTCAATGTGCAGTGAGCGAGGCCGACCAGTAAGAGAATACAAGCTACAATGCAAACCATTATTGCCAAAAGACTGCCCGATGAGATTGACATCGGCTTGTCGTTTGGGGGTTTACTCGTAGATATAGAAACATCAAAAGGTGTTGCGCTGCCTGAACCATCAAAGTCTTCTCTTCCACATCTTCCATCTTCCAAAAGCAAGTATCCTTCACTGCAGGAACATACAAACCCCCCAGGTGTATTATCACATATATGGTCACAGTTATCACTGCTGCATTCATCAATGTCAACGCACATGTTGTCTTCAAGTAGGAAACCATCGGGGCAGTTGCACTGGTCGTTGTTATTGGGGTCACATTCAGCTGGGCACTGTTCATCTGTACAGTGCATCATACATGTGTGGATGTCCTCCTTCGACTGTATGAATCCATCATAGCATGCACATTGATAACTACCTTTAGTGTTGATGCACATGTGCTCGCATGGTGCAGACGCGCATTCGTCTTCATCAACGCAAATGCCACTTTCTTTGCGAAAGCCGGGCTTGCAATCTTCGGGAGACATTGCATGTGCAACTTGAAACACCGGCTGGCATTCCCCGTGCGCACAAGCGTCCTGTTTGCTGCATGTGACTCGGTTACTGTCGAGCTTAAATCCATGCGGACAGATGCATGTGTTGTTAGGAACGCTCCCAACGCATGCATAATCACATCCACCATTAATAAACTCACAACTCCAAGGTGCTTGAAGCCAATCGCCTTCGAAACAAACGTGTTTCGTTCTCTGCGGCTGTAATGTCGCTATTGTGCCTTGAGGAATTTCTTGGAGGAGTTTGTTTGCATTAAATCCAAAACGAGTTTCATATACGACTGCTGAACCGTTGCTCAGTGGCTGACAATATTCGAGGTTTTCATATTCGCACAAATAACCATCGATTATGTCATCGCAAGGTCTTTCGGCCCATTTCGGAACTTTTTGTGACACAGAAGCACATCGTGGAGAACAAACCGGTCGGTCGCTTTCCCAGTTGATGTAGTGGCTTGCGTTGTCTCCAGTGACCCATTTGTATCCCTTTAACCCATCGTTCGCGTGTGAACACTGATATCTCAGGCCAAGCCAAAAGTTTCCAGAAGTGCCATTCAACAATTTAGCAAGAATATTGGCCGATTTTCTGTAGCGTACGGTCATCAAATGTCCTCCTCTCTCCTGACAGACTTGCTGCGCCGAATCAAAACTCAAACTGTTGGTTTGGATGGCGAAGCATTTTCCCTCCTCACAATGACCGTCACTGATTTCCCTCCCGTGAACTTTCAGAACAACGAGCGCCAGCGCCATTCCTATGATCTCTCTCATCTCTGCGGAACCGTTATGTACCGATATTCACCAAGTTATATGTGGAGAAGTGTCCGCGCTGATAGAGTCCGAGGTGTGCCGTGCCGCATTTATAATGACATCCATGTCTCCAAAATTTAAAGGAAGTCCGTGTTATCTGGCAGAGATCCCGGAGCGCCACTAACTTTCCTTCTCTCTCTCTCTCTCTCTCTCTCTCTCTCTCTCTCTCTCTCTCTCTCTCTCTCTCTCTCTCTCTCTCTCTCTCTCTCTCTCTCTCTCTCTCTCTCTCAGTCTGCGCGCATGTGTTTGGATACACGATATCCATCCTGAGGATTTAATTTCCAAATTAGTTACCGAGAATAGATGTCGCCTTTTCGCAACTATGTTTTGGTTAAGCTATAGCCCACTCTTCCTAAGATAGATAGATAGATAGATGGATGGATGGTAACACTTTACAATAAGGTTAAAGGGTTAGTTCACCCAAAAATGAAAATTTTTTCATTAATGACTCGCCCTCGCGTGTCGTTCCAAGCCCGTAAGACCTCCGTTCATCTTCGGAACACAGTTTAAGATATTTTAGATTTAGTCCGAGAGCTTTCTGTCCCTCCATTGAAAATGTATGCACGGTATACTGTCCTTGTCCAGACAGGAAATAAAGACATCATCAAAGTAGTCCATGTGACATCAGTGGGTTAGTTAGAATGTTTTGAAGCATCGAAAATACATTTTGGTCCAAAAATAACAAAAACTAGGACTTTATTCAGCATTGTATTGTCTTCCGGTTCTGTTGTGGATCCGCGTTCAGTGCCGCTGCTGACGTAAGACGCTGCTGATGTGTGTCTGGTGCGTCCGTGTATTTGGGTTCAAATAAATATGGCTGGGCAAAAAAATGCAAGTCTTCCTCTGTGTGGAAATCCTTAGACATGTTTGCGAAGATTGTTTTGTTTCCAGCGTGCGTCTCCCTCAAACTGTAAACGAAGCTCGGGCGCACCAGACACACGTCAGCAGCGTCTTACGTCAGCAGCGGCACTGAACGCGGATCCAGAACAGAACCGGAAGACAATACAATGCTCAATAAAGTCCTAGTTTTTGTTATTTTATTTGTTATTTTGTTTTTGTTAGATCTTGCGGGCTTGGGACGACATGAGGGTGAGTCATTAATGACATAATTTTCATTTTTGGGTGAACTAACCCTTTAATTAGTTAGGCTACAGCTGCAGTTCGTAACCTTTTTTGGGGTTAAAAATTATCCAAAATAAAATTGAGCAAGTACATAACCAGCCAGTGTTCAAAACTCTCTGCTTGCCGTAGCTCGATTCAAAACGATAAGCTTGTTATAATGTTTTTAATTCCAGATACTGGTGGATTTCCGCGGGAGATTCGAGCATGTCTTTGCGTCATTACGTCACATGTGTACACACACATCTGTACACACACATCTGTACACACATCTGTACACATAAAGAAGAGTCTCGGCTAGTGGGCTATGAGTGTGAGGATGCTGGAGGTGGAGATTTATAGCCTCTTCTCACAGCACTTGATAATTAAACTCCTTCCTTTTGAACCTCTGTACAGCTCTTTGGTCAGTCGTGTGGCTGTTGTATAAGTGCTATACAAGTAAACTGAACTTGAACTTGTTCAGATGTTTTTCGGTGAAAAACAGAATTCTTATATTGGTCATACTTCTAAAAAGTATAATCTGTGATTCTGAATGCCAGTATCCACACCGGCGCGGTGATTGACCGCCGCACACTCTCCTCAAAACATTGTGTTCATCCGCGCTGTGCCGTGTCGAGGCACAACTCACGTAAAGTTGATAATTCCGCGAATAACTGCAATTGCAGATTTCGACCAGAGATGGCGACAAAGAAGAAAAAAAGGGACTGCAGCTTTAACATTAGTTAACTATCTTAGTTAACATGAATGAACAATACTTCTTCAGCATTTATTAATCTTAGTTAATATTAATTTTAACATTTACTAATACGTGTATTAAAATCAATGTATTTAATTTAATGTATTTAGTTAACTAACAACGTATTTGTTAGTTAACATTATAATGCACTGTGAACTAACATGCACTGTGAACTAACATGAACAAACAATGAACAGCTGTATTTTTATTAACTAACATTAACAAATGTGTTTCTCACTGTTAGTTGGTTCATGTTAGTTAATATATTAATAATGTTAACTAATGAACCTTATTGTAAAGTGTTACCAGATAGATAGATAGATAGATAGATTAAACATTAGAATTAAACACGCAATATAGTGAGGTCATGTTTTATATTACATATCTTTGCACATACGGTATCCATGTTAATCAACCCTATACAGGCAATATAAGGCACAGTATGCAAAAAACACTCTGAACATGAAAACGCCACCTTTAATAAGAATCTGCTTGTTCTGATTATGACGACTGACAACTGACATGACCACTGTCTTGATAATGGTAATAATAATGGTTTCATTTTAAAGCACAATTTGATTTACTTGTATGTTTTGTAAGATGTAATCATTAAATTGTGTAATTTGGGTTTTGAGTGTGGAATGTCACAGTAAGGAAAACATCAGGAAACTGAATTCAATACATCCATGTATACACTGTAAAAAATTATTTTCATGAGTTGTTATCGCAACTTTTGAACTTTTGTCAAATCAACTTAGATAGCTGTGGTGCAGATAACATAATACAACATAATAACATAATATTATCTCCATTGTATTAACTCAATTTTTGTATTTCAATGAACTCAATGAACTCTAGTAACTTACCTATTTAAGTTAAACCAACATGATTGTTTTTACATATAGATTTAGAGTATTTGTAAGCACAGTGACGAAGTACTGGCGACACCAAAGGGTGGAAGCATGTATCAGTGCTACTGAAGTGCATTTTTTCCATGACTTCAGTGAAACTGGGTGGATAAGCGGTGCTCGTAACAAAAGGAGTTTATTTATATTTTGATACTACTGAAGGCTGTAGGTGTGCATGATGACTGATAAAAACCTTTTCTTTGGCGTTGGTCAAAGAAAAAACGCACCCCACCCCGACCCACCCTGATCTAGACTTTCTCCGCGTTTCCTTTCACAATCCGTTACACCTCAAACAATCATGTAGATGTTTTAGTTTGCCCCTCCAACAATCCATGAAAGGAAGTCATAGCAAGAAGACTGGGATTGTTTTACTAGTGACAAAGAAGGAAAACAGAACATAAATCAGGGCGAAATGAAGTCGACTTTTGTAAGAATCGATGCCCTGATTGAAGCACGCATGAGATCTTAAAAACCGGACATTCTTAAATACTAATAAATCAGCATAATTCAAATTTTCAGGTGTGTGATTGTTGATTTTTTAAAAACTACTAACCTTTGTATTTCTCAATTCAGGGATGTTGGCGAGATGCTCCTGTTCTTATTTTGGTGACCTCTTTCATGGCAGGAAATTGGAGGGAAATGTCAGAGACAGTCATTCAGTCCGTCACCACTTTTCCATTTTTAATCGGTGAGTTATGCACGGTCAAGCACCACTCATATCATCAAAACGTTGACTAATTTAGAAATCGTTCCTAAATGTGTATTAGTAAGTAATATTAATTCTTAGGGTGCAGTCAAATCCTTCCTGCTCAGGTATTGTCATTGCTTTCTTTCCAGTCATATCCTCAGGGAGAAAGGAAGGATGTCACTATTCTTCTTTTTAACGTAGTAGTGAAATCTTTTGCACCTAGAAAGAAGCAAAGGGCTCCTTCAGATCTGGATCTTGATTCAATAATAAGACAATCATTTGATAATGTTATCTTTTGTTCCACGGGGCATCACTGATAAATTCTATCTAATGCATTGCGTGACTTTAATCACGACAAGACACAAACTGTGAAATCATTCGATTTCAATTCATCATTAATAAACATAGTTGATTGAAGACACTTTGTTCATGCATTGGAAGTGTTAAACCCAATGTAAAAGTGTTTAAACCTCGCAAAAGTGGCCTTAATGAACATTTAGTTGCTAAAATTCACATTTTATGTTTCCATTGTGCTCTCACAAAAGCTGTTAAAAAGTCATGGGTCATATTTGGACCTAAAACCGAAAGAATAATTAATTTATGCTGGTGCAATTTTAATTTTCCTGAAGCAATAAATGGTAAAAAAAAAATATTATTGTAAAGACAATCTAATATAGTCATTGGATAATTGCATTTTTAAAAAACAATAGAAAGAAGGACAAATGGAAGAAATGTGCTTAATTGTCATAAAAATGTTTTACATTGTACAAGCTTAAAAATAAAGGATATTGTTTTAGTTATTTTTAGTTATTGGCAGTTTTGGTTCGATAAAGAAGTTGCATAGAATCTTTCCATTACACAAAAGGTTCTTTATAGTGGAAAAAGGTTCTTTAGATTTTTAAAAATGTTCTTCACACTTAGAAAAAGGGTTCTTTGGAAAACTTAAAAGGGTTCTTCTATTGGGCCTTTCCCAGAGGAACATGCATGGTTTCTATAGCTATTGGCGGAAATACCCGCTTGTTTGACATTTTCGCACCACAGGAAGGATCATTTTAGTTATAGGCTTTTGGGGGACTAAACTCAGAGTAGGGTCTAACCCAGCACAACAGTGATGTAAGTGTACGTTGATTGGCCGAATGCATGCCATACAAAACACATTTTTAAAATGCCATGTAAACACACAGTTTACATATACTTACTCCACGAACTAACTCCACAACACACTGAGTGCACCGGGAGATTTGCAAACTGGCAGCTCTAGTATAATGAAAAGATTTACCTTGAACTCTGTCATGGAAACTATCATGTACAAACCCTAATTAAACAATTTAGTAATCAGTTAAAGAGGAATTTATAATTTATGAAGACAGCTGCAAAAGTCTCTTTTTGGATCTTTATTTTTAACTCTTTCCCCGCCACTGATTTTCTCAGCTTTTTGTTCAAAATTTTGCTTTTTTATGAAACCTACCCACATTTAAGTGTTAATAAAAAAACGCATGAAGCTAGAATAAAATTACAAGCAGGGTTACAACAAGGGTTTACAAGCAGATGCTCTGTTCTTTCTTCTGATATATTAAATGTTTAGATATTCATACTATTCTGGGTCCCATCAAAGTTTTGTGAAAATGATTTTAAAAAAAC